ATTTTTTGTTCATTTAAATGTTCAGATGTCTTTGGAAAATGGCTCTCTTTGTTGGCTTTCTTATGCTAAAGTAATGTTTCCTGTGATTTTAAAATTTTAATCACATGCTTTGTCATATATTCACGATCACATTTCATATCCAGATTATTGCATTCTCCCTCTATTTATCAACCTTACCAAATGGCTGCTGGGAGAAAACAAACAATCTGTAGAGTGTTTTGTTTTCTGCCCTGAAAATAATTGTATCCATTTTCACATTTAAATAAAATATTATTATTATTTATTATTATACAGGATTTATATAGCGCCAACGGTTTGCTCAGCGCTTTACATTATAGTGGGAGACAGTACAGTAACAATACAGTTCAATACAAGAGGGAATTGAGGGCCCTGCTCCTTGGAGCTTACAATCTAGGAGGGAGGGGTGAGTGGTACAATAGGTAAAACTGTGGGGGGTGGAGTGGTTGGAAGAGTAGAGGATTCCGGTATTGGCAGAGGGCGGGATAGGCTTCCCATAAGACATAGGTTTTCAATGATCGCCTAAAGGTAAGTAGAGTAGATGATAGTCTGATAGATTGGGGTAGGGAGTTCCAGAGGATGGGTGATGCCCTGGAGAAGTCTTGGAGACGAGAATGGGAGGAGGAGATAAGGGAGCTAGAGAGTAGGAGGTCTTGCGAGGAGCGGAGTGTACGGTTTGGGTGATATTTAGCGATAAGATCGGATATGTAAATTCGGGCAGTGTTGTGGATGGCTTTGTATGTCATAGTTAGTGTTTTGAATTGTATTTGTTGGGCAACTGGGAGCCAGTGGAGGGATTGGCAGAGAGGGGTGGCAGATACAGAGCAGTTAGTGAGGTGGATGAGTCTGGCAGCAGCGTTCATGATAGACTGAAGGGGGGATAGCCTGCGATGAGGTAGGCCAATGAGGAGGGAGTTACAATAGTCGAGCCGTGATATGACAAGGGAGTGAATAAGTTGCTTAGTGGTTTTCGGGGTTAGGAACGGTCGTATCTTGGAGATGTTGCGGAGGTGAAATCTGCATGATTTTGTCAGCGATTGGATCTGGGGCTGGAAGGACAGATGAGAGTCTAGGATTACACCTAGTACCCTGGCATGATGGTAAGGACTAATAATTGTGTTATCGATATTTATGGTGAAGTCAGTGGAGGTGGCACGGGCAGGGGGGAATACTAGGAGCTCAGTTTTGGAAAGGTTGAGTTTGAGGAAGTGGAGTGACATCTATGCCAATATGTCACTTTAGTAGGTTAGTAATGCGAGAGGAGACTGAAGGGGTGAGGTGAGGGGTAGACAGATAGATTTGCGTGTCATCAGCATAGAGATGGTAATTGAAGCCGTGGGAGTTTATCAAGTGACCATGGGAGGAGGTGAAGATGGAGAAGGGGTCCAATGAAAGAACCTTGAGGGACCCCTATAGAGAGAGGAAGTGAAGAGGAGGTGGCAGCGTTATAGGTAACACTGAAGGAGCTCTGCAGTAGATAGGAGGAGAACCAGGGAGAGAGCGGAGTCTCTGAGGCCAAGAGAGTGTAGTTTTTGAGGAGGAGGGGATGGTCAACCGAGTCAAAAGCCGCAGCAGAGAGGTCGAGTAGTAGGAGTATTGAATAGTGGCCATTGGTTTTTGCAGTTAGTAGGTCGTTAGAGAGTTTTAGTAGGGCAGTTTCAGTGGATTGTAGAGGGCGAAAGCCAGACTGTAAAGGGTCGAGAAGGTTGCTGTCAGTGAGGTGGGAGCTCAGACAAAATACAAACATTTGCTCATCTTTCACATCAGTATAATATCATGCTAAAACTTATTACTGGCCAATGTCAATGTGATCCATGTTGTCAATGGAATAGCACTAAATACATTAAAATATTAAGGGTCCATAATGGTTCATGTTTCCATGATTTTTTTTTAATTGACGTGGGTGCTTTTGTGCATTTTACTTTAAAATACAATTATAGAGACATGGCGTGTGACACTGATAGCAATTTTTTTTATTGCTTTTCTCTGTGCTGATTATCCTCCGATTATCTTGATCTTAAGCTGTACTGGTAAACTGTCTTTGAGTACTGTGTGCTATTAGACCATTGTCTCTAGATAATTAAAGCTGAACTCCAGGCATTCATAAAAGGCACAAAGCAGCCAAGCATTCAGTAATATATTATTAAATGTATTTATTTTTACATGAAAGCAGTGTAAGTACCTGAATTTGACTTGATATCAGTCTCCTGCAATCCACTGAACAGCACAACAAAGATTGTGAGAGGAAAAGGCAGAGCTGGGAGCCAATCAGGTGTGGTGCATACAAATGAGCCATGAAGGAAAATGCTGATAGAAAGAGAGCAGTAAGAAGACCTTATCAATCTGCTGCTGCTCTTCTACTGTTCAGTCAGCAGGCTAAGGGGGAAGAGAATGCCATTTTATGCTTTAACTATAAGTAGTGTCCACCTGGCATGGCAGGCTGTGGAAATTTCATGACTGGATGGACAGAAATACAAATTTTGAAAAGTATTAGACTAAATGAAGACATGCCTTTGGCCCAACATTTTGTTGAACATCATGGAGGCCAAATAACTGGCCTGAGAGTGAAAGAATGTTTCGCTCTTAAATTGTCATCCAGGAGAGGTGACTTTAATACAGTACTACTGAAAAAAGAAAAAAAGTTGGATTTTTAAATTAAAAACTTTGACACCATTTGTTTTAAATAATGAACTGAGTCTTAAGGTTTTCTTGAAATCATAATTCATGGGGTCTTTCCCCCTCTTTAGTACATATAAATATTCTGTTTTTTTCCTTATTATTAGCAGTGAATTTTCACTATTAATCCCACTGTGAATGCCATTGATGATTGTATGGGGATTTATTTTCAAAAAATTTGGAAAATTGGGATTTCTCCACATAGAGCGTACTAATATAAATTATTATATAAACACTTTGGGTGTTTAAAGTTTTTTTAAACTAATTAAGAATATGTAGAATGGCCTTGTGTCAAAATCCACCTATTACTTTTTAAAAGTAACGATTTTGCAAATGTAGAAATGCTGCCCTTTAAATAGGGGACCGCTCCCCGGCTGGATCATCATTTAAAGCCCCAGAATCCATCCACCCTGAGAGGGAGTGATTTCCACACCAGACCTGGCCCTGATGATCCTTTGATGACACCAGGATATATTTCATAACGCGAATTATAACTGCGCTTCCGGTGAGTGCGCATTCCTTCCGTTTATGAAAGCACAAGCACCGACTACAGAAATCAGGATTATAAGAGCACCAATTAGTCACCTATATGAACTATTAATTATATTTGGTTTTTATTATTTATTTATTTATTACATATTAACTTTGCACCTATTATTTATTACTATTACTAACTTTTAGTGCTGCACTTGTTTATATTTAGTATTAAATAATTATTATTTAACTTTTTGCCTGGAGTCCAGATTTAAAGTAAAGCTCAATCATTGTAATATAAAAACGTACTTAAGTTCTTTACCTATTATTGATATGTTTAGTTCTCTTATTACTTGCATAAGTCTAGCACAGAAAGCATGTTCCCAGGGAGATGTACATACCATTCCCAATGTAGCAATGACCACTTTATAAAAGCAGACTTACACTGGAATATCTGGTGATTTATTCATAACCCAGTTGAAATTCCAAGTATGTATGTAATACTTGAACGCAGAAAGAAATGTAGCATGAATTGCACTCATAGGTTTTGACTTATATTCTTACATTTGGTAACCCTTTACAATGGTGGAAATATCAGTTGCCTGATCCCAGATAAAAAACATTCTTCCAGACAGGTCAGAACAGGCAGATTCTTGGGATCACATGTATACTGCGTGCATGCTTCCTTTAACCTATATACTTTTCATACAATTTTAGTACAGGCGTACTTAAAAAAAGTGGTTATTAAACACCAAATAAAAGTTCTATCTGTCTCAAAAAGTGATATATATTATCTACAGTATTGTATGACAGAGTCTTTGTCAGTCGAAATATAACCACACTGAAAACTGAAAAATGGCCTGGGAATGACGGGATGTTACAGGCTAGTACTCAAGTGGTTAAAAGAGGCCTTCACTCTCTATGAACCACTTTCCCTCATTGCACTCCCATGCCTCCTCTCTCACAACCAGACATTTAATAATTTATTTTTTACAATTTTTTTCGGACTCCCCTCAGCACTTCCAGGATTCTTGCCAAGGCGAGAATGACATCCAAGTCACTCACTGAGCATCATAAAGGAGCAGAGCATTCTGCGTGTTACATTTCATATGGATTGTGCTGAATGTACATTTTGACATTATCTACTCTTATTAGATTAGTATATATAAACTGTTCACTTGGGTAATAAAACCACCAAAATCAATTTAAATTTTTTCCCCTTATCCTTGACTTCAACAAAGTTAGCCAAAATTTTACTAAAATTCATGATTCTGATGATTTTCACCAACAATTTTGGGTAAATGAAAACAATTTTCCTTATTCCTAGTAGTAGGGGTTTGATTCTATGGAAAGATATAATTAGTTCTATATTTAAGGCTGATTTTGTTTTAAGGATTTGGGAATATTCACACAATAAGATCCCTTCAGTTATACTATCATGTATATAAATAAAATCCCTGTTTACTATCCCATCTGCACATAACTGGATAATTTAAGTAAATATTCACACAATTTATTGTGTGAACGTTCTAAAATCCATTAGTTAATCAGCTACTATAAATCTCTGCATAATATATTGTCATATACCGTACATATATATGTCAATGTGAATACATTTGAAATCTCAAATTTCAGGTTCTGTTTTAATGAGAGTAGAGGGATTTCGTGATTTTTGAGAGTTTAGGGATTCCGTAAATTTACAAGCATTGGTCTCCAAGCAATGGTCCAGTTTTATTTTACATCAGACAATTATGGGTATCTTCTAACGAGATTTTGCAGTAAGTAGGAAGCTTGTTAAGGTATAGTACAATTTAAAGTGTTACTAAACTCAGGACCCTGCATTCACTATATCTGGTCTCCAACAGTACACAGAACATGGAAATACAATTATTTTAATAAATATAAACTGCTAAATACCTATTCTCATCAGCAGTTAGAGCAGTCTTGTGACTTCTATCAGTGTTCAGCAGATTGCATGTTAAAGCTTGTAGAAGGAGTTTTCATTCTCCTATAGGAGGATAAAGAACCCCTGACCTCTGTCTGGACAATGTTGATTGACCTTGTGCTGGTCAGATGCAAGAAAACCCTATCTAGCAATACACACCAAACTGAGCATGTGCAGAGTGATTCCATACCATATGTCTTATCAGGAGATAAGAGGGGATACTGGAAGATAGGGAGGATCAGAGAAGACAGAAAACAGCCTTTTTACACAATGCAGATAATTAACCCCTTAGGTTCCACAGTGAGTACAATGCTTTACTGCATATACCGAATGATTTTATTATTGCTTGAAGCTTGTAGCTCAACAAAGTACATGAGCTTTTTTGAGCTACAAGCTTCAAAAGTTTTTGGCTCCAATATATTTCAATTGGAGTGCATGAAAATACATGAAAAACCACACCCTAGCAACAGGCTTCCATTGGCTAAAAATACTAAAGATATTCAAAAAATACACCCAAGACTCCAATGCCTCCAAAAATGCTTACAAAAATGCTTTAAAAAAGTCTGGAAAATGACCAAAAGACGCTCAAATGCCAATGTAGCCTTACACTGCTTTGTACTTTTGGCTGTCCAGCTTTTATTTTTCTGAGCAATAAACATACAATAAATAGTGGATCTCTTTCTGTGACCTATTTGCTTAAAAATATTGTGGAATGCAAATTTAAGGGTCACTTGATTCGTACTGTTTATTATTGCAGGCGGAAATGATTTATATCAAATAAACAAGGCCATATCCATGAGACTATGTGAAAAATATTCTCAAGCAGTCACTTCATAAAGGTTCTGGTAAGTCCACATTCATATTGAAGTGTTGAAGACTAAAGATTATGGCGTTTTCTGTGCTGTGGAATTTATTGTATAACGTAGATTGGGATTTGCACACTCTGCGTTTTCAGCTCTTTCAAAATATATGTGTACAGGCACATGTGAATTTACATTCTTGTATCTGATTTCTGGCACATCTGCAAACATGCATATTAGAAATGACATACCACAATGCTATTTATCAGACACCCCCTCATTGTTAATATAGAAACTATGTTGATTTTGGATGGTTTCCAGCAAAAACTTGTTCTCAAGAAAACACGGCAAAGCAATTCAAGTTTCATGTAACCAAAGCCATTGTGCTACTACTGGAGTGAAAAACTCGCCAATAAAAATAACCACATTGTTACTGCTAAAATAAAAGGATAGCCAATAAAATGTACAAATGTGATAATAGTACGAAGACAGAAAATTACAGACTTTATTTAGCAAGTGAAAAGGCATTGTACAAAATAAAACAACACCATTTAGAAGTAATTTCTCGGTTTCTAATTTGTCCTATAATCCTGAAAGTGCAACTAAACTCAAAACCAAAAATGTGATATATTGCAGTTTACCAGTGCTTAGGCTGCAATTTGCAGTTGGGTTTAGATACCCTTGTTGGGGTATGTGTATATAAAATTCAGAGAGCTGTTCGTCCTGTGAAATGGCATGTACATTCATGTAGATGGGAGCAAAATAGAATGTTATTAGACTAAAACTAAAAAAGACTGGGGGTGAAAAATAGAGTTTCCACCAACTATTAAGCAAGCACATCATGAGACAATCTTTAGAAAACAAAATTAAGTTTATTATAAATACATCCTCTTGTTGTTAAAAAACAATATACACATACAATTATTTAAAATCTGATTTATTACAAATACCCTCTACTGGACTGGTACATCAGCTAGCCCAAATCTATATGCACACTTCTGTAGGATAATTATTGTATATGCACAGGTGCGCTGGTCCAAATCCAGATACATCAACGCATTTCGAAAATAGATAGCTTCATCAGGACAATGAGGTATATGAATATAAACTAAATATAAAGAAAATTAGAAATAAAGAAAATAAAAGAAAAATAACAGTTTACACACAATATAATAATCAAGCTTATTTTGTGAGTCAGCATTCACTGACAGACTCTTATATGAATTGCGTTCTTTATGTAAATTGTTTGACTATTATATTGTGTGTAAACTGTTATTTTTCTTTATATTTAGTTTGATTCTAACACTCTCATTTTTCTGGTGAAGATATCTATTTGTAAAACTTGTTGATGTATCTGGATTCAAACAAGAACGCCTGTGCATATACAATAATTATCCTATAGGAGTGTGCATATAGATTCGGACTAGCTGATGTACCAGTCCAATAGAGGGTATTTGTAAAGAATATGATTTTAAATAAATGTATGTGTATATTGTTTTTTTAACAACAAGAGGATGTATTCATAATAAAATTAATTTTGTTTTATAAAGATTGTCTTGTGATGTGCCTATAAAGTCCGCTTAATAGGAGTTGGCAGAGACTCTATTTTTCTTCTCCAGTTTACTTTTGTTTTAATATTTTGTATGAGGCACTCTAAAAGTCTACAATTTACTAAATGTTATTAGACTACTTTCTCTGCAGGTCAAATGGTATTGTTCATACATAATAGAATAGCTGAGGAAAGTTCTGCATTTTGGCCACCAGATGGAGCCGATGATCATAGGAAATAAATACTTATTTAGTCTAAATGCACAAAGGTGGTAAGGCCCCGCAATATCAAATCCCCTCAGCATCAAATTCTTGTTACTCAGCAGCTGGATCCTGTACCAAGAAGTACTTACATTTAGGGCTGCATATGTTCAGGGATGTGTTTCCCTAAGGCTGAATTCATGTGATTGGGTTAACCTTCACCGAATCCCTAACAATCAAACACATATCCCATAAAAATAGCATATAAAATGTATCCAGAGCCATTTATTACAGAGTTGGAAAGGACTAGAACTTTTCTTTTTTTTGTTATTTATATTAAGTAAAATCTTGTGAGCTGCTACTTCAAATATAAAGTACCAAAACAAATAAATATATTATACTATGTAAATATTAGCAGATTGCTTGTACCATACACATACCCATACAGATGTGCCAATACTTACAAATATCAAAAACTCCCCTTAAATATAAAGTAAAAGAAACAACTAAATATACACAGATCTTCCAATAAATAATTCAAGTGTCCACATCAAATCTGTTATTCTCTCTGTTATTCTCTATAGTCACTGTAGTGTAGAAAATAGAGTAATCCTCGGTTCACCTCTTGTGATTTTATCAAACCTACACTTCTGCACCTCCACCATTTGTGCTCTTACCTTATATATATGACCAAACATTAAGTCATCAGGGGGCCACATGACCCGGTGGCGTAACACGTAGGGGAGGGGTTTGATGTCACGATGCTCGACTAAAAAGGTATCAGCAGGCTGTGCAGGCTAGAATCGTTAGCGGCTATTTGGAGCAATTGATCTTTGTTTAAAGCACTTTATTATATATTACACACGTGAGTGGAATACAGCTTATATTAAACAAATGCTTTTTATAAGGATAAAGCGCTATGTTTTGATTATTTTTCTTGGCATTTGAACCGATGGAGGAGGACAACTACAGGAGTGAAGGGGACCCAGACCCTTTGGATAGAAATCTCATCTCATTATAGTTCAAATAAAGGAGACAGGCTTTATATGACCTCACTTAACGGTTTGCTCATATTTATAAGGCGAGAGCACAACTGGTGGAGGTGCACAAGTGTTGGTTTGATAAAATCACAAGAGGTGAACCAAGGATTACTCAATTGCTACACTATAGTGACTATAGAGAATTACGGATTTGCTGTGGACACTTGAAAATTTATTTGTTGGAAGATCTCTGTATATTTAGTTGTTTGTTTTACTTTAGATTTAAGTGTTCTTTTTTTGTTGTCTGTGTTCCCAACAGGTTAATTCACACCTGGTATGACCACTATCACCGAGGCTGAAAGTAAGAGAAGCACCATAATTTTAATTTTTTAATTTAATGCAGATATCCCCACCACCCAAGCAGTTATACTCACTGAGCTAGACTCCCATGCTGCCCCTAAAGGGTTTCCGGGTATGATGGAGCATGTGATCACCCCAGGGGCGGACTGACCATTTGGAAACTCGGGCACTGCCTGAGGGCCCGGGGTCAGTAGAGGGGTCCCATGAGATGCCCCTGGTACCTTTTTCATAGGTTTGGGCAAGGACACAGGGGCCCCATGGTCCCCTATTGCCCGGGGGCCCCATAAGTTGTCAGTCCACCCCTGGACTACCCCCAATTTGACAGTGCCAATCAGCAACCCAAACACTGTTGTGAGTCTGTGAGATCATCTCCCTGTCAAAACCAGTCAACACCAGAATTTAGACTGTATGGTATTTCTGGTATGCTAAAGCAGGTAAACAACAAGGAAGTGTGGCTTACAAAGTATAAAAGCTTGGAGGGAATATCTGTATAAACTTTCACCTTACTCAGTCTGAGCAAAGTGATAGTGTCTCTGTAACCCAAAACCTAACAATATGCCTGAAGCCTTAGCTTAAAGTGGTATTAAACCCAAAACAAAAAATGTAATATATTGAAGCTTACCAATCATTAGTTGTGGTGGATTAATTAATTTTCTTTTGTAGGCTTCTTTTTTTCACCTGGAGATCTGGCCAGTAACACTCCTCCTGTATTATAGTGCCTCCACTCAGAATGAAAGAACACAGGAGCACAGCAGACAGCAATATTGTTAATCTGGGGGGAGGGGAGTGTTAGATGTACTAGTAGATTTAGATAAACTAACAAATAGAAGCCAAACTTCAGCTGACACTGCAGTTACACAAGCAGTTACAGCAACATTGTTTTTTACCTTTTGGAATAAAGGTTCTACATGAATAAATAAAAACTGATCATTATAAGCACCCCTGTCAGTGGTACATTTGTTTTCTTAACACTCTTAACTGATACATTTTGCAGGAGATCTTGTTATGTAGAAAAACAACAGACTTACTGGCCAGATCAACAGATGAAAATCAAGGAAGGAAAGCCTAAAAACAAAACAAAACAAATGCAGCCAATACATCTAAGGCCAGGTCCACATATGTGTGGCCATGCGGGCCGTGATTTGCGCAGGCACAAGAGCCCATTCATTTGAATGGACTCCTGAGCCCTGGGACACACAGGGAAGAAGTCCCTGCTCTACTTGGGAAATCACAGCCCCCACAGGAACTGAGGTTTCCAGTACAGTTGCGATTTCCAGTGCAGGTGGCTTGCCATTAGAATTAATGGCACCTGCCTGCGGGTCCCGCA